TTATATACAAATATGTTAAGATCATTTACTAATCTAGAATCAAATGAAAATTGTAAAAACAAAAAAAAAAAAAAAAAAAAAAAAAAAAAAAAAAGCAATCACACTTAAAAACTGAAGATAAGCTAATAGGATAATTAAAGAAAATTATTTACGAAAATATTTTAAGAAAATAAATTACGGAATTTAATTGTAACAAAAACGAAAAATTAAAAAAAAAAAAAAAGAAAAAAGAAAATTTAAATTGGTTAGACTAGTTAATAAGAGAGTTGTTAAAAAAGAAGATAAAAGAATCTTAAAAAGAATTTAATTCATTAACATCGTTAAGAAGTTTTTGTTTGAGTTTTTGTTTAAATAGAGAAAGTGAAGAACAATTTTTCAGCTGGTTATTTAATAAAGTGTTCCATAATTTAGGACCTCTGATGGCAATAGAAAATTTAGTAGCCAAATAGTGTATTTTAGGTTGCTCGATTGTAATTTAAAATAAAAATAAGAATTTGATAAAGGTTTAACTGAAGAACATTGAATATGTGATGATTTTTGAATAGTTCTTTAAAATGTGCGAATCGACCTTCATTTGAAATAATCCTGACAGCGTGTTTTTGTCTACTAAGCAATTTTTAACTTTACTTACATTAGAGCTGCACCATGCAATATTTGCATAGTTAATATAACAATGTATGAGGGAGAAATATAAGATTTTCAAGCAGTTTTGGTTTAAGATTTGCTTAGCTTTGTATAGTATGCCAATATTTTTCGAAGTTTTATTTTCAATTGTTCTTATGTGTTCTCTCCATGTCATGTTTTCGTCAAGTGTCACTCCTAAAAACTTTAACGATGACTCTCTGACTATTTTAGAGTTGCCAATGTAAAGATCAGGAAGTTTTAATGGAATATTTTCTTTATCGTGAAGTCTATGAAAAAAGTATATTTCGTTTTATTTAAATTTAAGGAAAATTTGTTTGCCTTAAACCATTTTGCTAGATTTAAAAGTTCCTTATTTACTATTTTAAATAGGAGGTTGATATCTCCATTAGAATAAAATAAATTTGTATCATCTGCAAATAAAACTGAGTTTAAAATGTTTGAAAACTTACGGAAATCGTTTATATAAATAAGAAATAAAAGTGGACCCAGAATTGAGCCTTGGGGAACACCGCAAGTAATAGTCAAGTATTCAGTTTTTATTTCTTCGTGTGCTATGTATTGTTTTCTATTGTTTAGATAACTTTTAAGCCATTCTAAATATATACTTTTAATACCATAACTTTCGAGTTTTTTTATAAGAATGTTATGGTCTACTGTATCAAAGGCTTTGCTAAGATCTATAAAAACTCCTAGGGTAAACTAGGTCTATAACTATAAAAACTCCTAGGGTAAAGAATTGTTTTTTTTGTTTTCTATTACTATTAAGAAAGATATCTGACAAGAAGTTTGGAATTTTTTTTATACTACCTTCAGATGGTTGATAACAGGAAGATACTAAAATATTTTTAATTTTGGTGTTGGTGATTTTTATTGTAAGGACCTCGCAAGCGGAATCAAAAATCGAAAGGTCTTTTCTTACTTTTATCGCTTGATTATTTCGAGTATAAGTTGTAATACCTTCTCCTTTTGACTGCTTTCCTTTCAGAAGATGTTGATTTATAGTTTGGGATTTGAAAATTAGAATTTTTTTGAATTAATTCATCAGAGCACCAAGATTCTGTCAGGCAAATCATACTGAACGAATAATTGCAATCGATTAAGAAACGTTTTAGTTTATCAAAATTTTTATTTAAACTTTTTATTTTCTTATACTTCGGTAATAATTTTAAGGTTCGCACTCATTATTAAAGAAAATGTTTTTTCCTGCTCCTTTAATAATCTTTCGGTTTCTTTAAGTATGCTTTTTTTGTGTTCTTCAAGTTTAGTTGAAATCAACTTTTTAATGTTCTTCATTGTTATTTCCATATTTAACTTTTTTTTTTATTTAACTTGAAAGTTTTAAACTTTTTATACTGCAAATAAAAAACACGTCCGTATACCACTTGGTATACGCCCGTATACCAGGATGCTTAGGTTTCAAGGACATTTTTCTTCTTTTGGATGGATGGATAGTTTTTGGACTAGCAGCCATCCCAGAATACCTGAGTTGTCTTTTGCTTTTAATCTGAAGATGATAAAATCTTTTGTCCTCACTAAACAGCGAGCCTGAGGTTAGCAAAACCCTTAAAAATCGACTTTTATATTGGAGTAATTTCTTTTTGTAAATGTAATCTAAAGACCCTAAGCACTCTAAAACTGATATGAATTTTTTCCTACTGTGATTTTTGAGCTTAGTATAGAGTAAAAGTACCACAAACCGGACAGTGCGTAAAAGACGCTTATCGAAAAAACTAAATATCTTCACTAAAAATAAAGATATTTAAAAAATTTAAAAAATTTTTTCATTTTTACTATGTGGAAAATTATAAATTTTTTAAAAAAAGATATTTTTATGATTGCTTTAATAAGATATTTA